GAGAATGGAATGAAATTCCAGGTTCTTTCAAATTAATGGGGGAAGGGCAGAGGGAAGGCTCTAGAATCCAAATGTCAAGCCTTGGAAAATGTGGATTCACAAAATCTGAATCAGAAAAACCGTATTCCCTTCCAAGCCTTCTATGTTCAATCTCAGTTCGGTTATGACCACTTTGAAAGCAAAATACAAACAAAAGGCAGCTGACGTGTCTGTCATGTATGTTTCTCAGGGGGAAACAAGTTCCCACTTGCAAAGGGAATAATCACCCCCAAAAGTCTCCTGCCCTGGAAATGCCTTCAGAAATGCCACATGCCTGTGCTGCAAGACCAATCCACCCCTCAACCCAGCCCCTGCCACACACAAACACAGCCTTAAAAAAAAGAAAAATCACTTTGTGTTCTCTAAGTTTTTCAAACTCCCGGACTGAAACTGACATAGAAACCCATCAAAGACTCTCAGTTCCGTCCCCAACGTCATTGAGGGATCCCCGGGAAGGAGAAGAGGGGAGTAGAAGAGGTGCGCCTGCAGCTCCTGCGCCCGGGTCTCCACCCTGGAAACGCAACGCAGGGCACTGCCCGGGAGGAGGAGAGCGAAGCCGACCCTGTAAGGCAGTACCTGGAGCCGATCCTCGAGGGGCCGCCGCTGCCGGCGCTCCTGGGGCGGGCGGGGGTTCCGGAGGGGGGCTCCCTCGCGCTCGCCCCTCGCCTTCAGCAATTTGGCCGCCGTCGCAGCTCGAATCGTTTTTAAATTTCCCTCTCTGGAGCTGTCCAGCTCAGAGCATGCGCAGTAGCCGTGCGGGGGGCTTTTCCCCAAGGGTCAGTTACAGGGCAGGGTCAAGGGGATTGCAACGAGCGTATCCCAGCAGCAGCGAGCCTTGCACGCCTCGGGGTTCCGGGGGTGTGTTGGGGGGGAGGTGCGGGGGGCACAGGGGGAGGGACACCCCTCTCCAACTTTGCCAGCGGTGGCAGCGACTGCATGCCCGCGAGCTTGCGTTGAGGAGCAGTGGGAGGACGATTTAGGCCAAAAGAATTAAGTTGCAAAAGGACGCTGGGTGCATTAAAACTTGCAGTCCGTCACTGGCCCGGGGGCAAAGGAGGTGGGCGGGCGGAAAGATCCGTCACAACCTTCGGTCTTCCCCAAAGTGGGGACGGGCCGGGCGGCAGAGACCCGGCCCCAGGTGGATGCGGATCGGGGCCACCTGTCCCTTTAAGAAAGTTGCACCCGCGCGGGCTAGCGCGCGGCGGGAGGGGACTGCGGAGCGGGGAGCGCCGTCGCCGGGCGCCTCCACCTGCCGGGGCCGCGAAGGGGGGGCCGGGCCGAGCGCCGCTGCGAGGCTGGGTCTGCGCGCCGCGCCCCCCTGCCCGGCGCGGAGGGTGAGCCCGCCCGGAGCGAGCGCGGCGGGGCCACCGGAGCCGCCGCGACGACGACAGCGGCGAAGGAGGCTGCGGCGCTCGGGGTCCGGCGCCGCGAGCCGAGCCGTTGGGACCGCGGCCCGCCGGTGCGCCCGCGCTCCCGCCCTTCGCCGCCGGCCGGCCCGCGCCGCCCGCCACCCCGCCCCGCCGCGGGAAAGGTGGCGCGGACCGCGGGCGGCGGGCGGGGCCGAGCGCGCACAAAGCTCTCCCCAGCCCCTAGGGGCCTCGAGCTAGTTTGGTGACCTGAGGAAGTTTGCATTTCCGGCGCCGCGACTCCTGCGCCTCCGTTGGAGCAATTTGTCGTGGCAGCCCCAATCATTGGCGCAACCACCGCCACCTTCTATTTACTTATTTATTGACGCTTCCTTCTCGTCTCTTCTCCACACCAGCCTTTTAGGAGCTAGGGTGGCCCCCTTTTTGCATCTGGGGAACCCGAAGGCCCCGGCGGTCGTGAGTGGGCCGAGGGCGCGCGGCCAGTAAGCGGTTCCAGCCACCGCCGCAGCCCGCGCGCCTGCGGGTGGACGGGCCACTCCCGTCTGCACTCGTCCCGCCGGGGTTTTGGGGCTGTCCTCGCGGTATCCATTCGGCTGCGGGCAGGGGAACCGTGTCCCCGCACCTGTCCCTGGGAAACCTTCCCCACCCCACCCCCATGCTTAGTCCAGGGAGTCCCTGGATTTCAGCTTTCGTTGAGCTGGGCTGCAACCTTGGCTTAGGTCCACGTCCTCCTGAATGGTTTTCTTGTGGCACCTGGACGCCCTTCCTCCTTTCTTCTCTGCCAGGAGTAAATAGATCCGCTTGCGTCCTCCAGGGAGGAGACAAAAACATGCAGTTTACAGATGTTAGTGAAAGTAATGGTCGTGAAACTTTCTCAGTTTTCAAAAATCTCCCTCCGACCTGCATGTATTTACAAGTTGTTTTTTCACCGGTTATAAAAGTGGTTTACATAGTTTATGTTGCTTTGAATGTCCCTGAATGACCTATAATTAATTCGCCAGTGAGGTTGTAAGCTTTCAAAGCGTTTGGGTTTATTTCTGTTAATCCTCATTGGAGTTGTAAATAAACGTGAGTGAACTGATTACTTCCTTTTGAGGAAACGGTCCTTTTCATTAAGATATCATTTTATATCTTTAGAGTGATTCCGAAAGAAGTTGTCTTTTCTGGAAGCTGATGGATTCAGTAAAGCTTTTTAAATAAAGGGCATCCAGTCTGTGGGTTCTGTGGACTCATGCACCATGGGAACAAAAAGCAAGGATCTTTGATTAAAAGACAAAAGGTGGGGGAGGAGAGATAGCTTCTGAGAGATGATTTTGGTAAAGAATTGAGATTTTGAGTTCACTGCTGCAGGATTGGTTGGCGTAAATATTGCCACTCAAACACCTGCTAGAGTTATTCA